AATATAAAATCAGACACAGTAGATCTGTTAGAAGAAAAAGGGGGGAAGAACCTTGAACTGATTGGCATAGGAGACAACTTCCTGAACAGAACACCAACAGTACAGGTTCTAAGATCAAAAATCAATAAATGGGACCTCATGAAACTGAAAAGCTTCTGTAAAGCAAAGGACATTGCCATCAGAACAAAACGACTGCCTACATATTGGGAAAGGATCTTCACCAACCCTATATCTGACAGAGGGCTAACACCCAGAATATATAAAGAACTGAAGAAGTTACACAGCAACAAATCAAGTAATCCAAGGGAAAAAAATGGAATACAGAGCTAAACAGAGAATTCTAAATAGAGGAATATTGAATGGCAAAGAAACACTTAAAGAAACGCCCAACATTCTTAGTCATCCGGGAAATGCAAATCAAAAAAAGCCTGAGATTTTACCTTACATCCATCAGAATAGTTGTGATCAAAAACTTATGTGACAACACATGCTGGAGAGGATGTGGAGAAAGAGGAACCCTATTCATTGCTGGTGAGAATGTAAACTTGTACAACCACTTTGGAAATCAATCAGGTGCTTTCTCAGACAATTAGGAATAATGCTATCTCAAAATCCAACTATACCACTCCTAGGCTCATATCCAAAAGATGCTCAGGTATATAACAAGGACATTTGCTCAACAATGTTCATAGCTGCTTTATTTGTAATAGCCAGAAGCTGAAAACAACCCAGATGTCCTTCAAATGAGGAATGGGTACAGAAATTGTGGTACATTTACACAATGGAATGCTAATCAGCAATTAAAAACAAAGAAATCATGAAATTTTCAGGCAAATGGTGGGAACTAGAAAAGATCATCCTGAGTGAGATATCCCAGAAACACAAAGAAACACATGGTATCTATTCACTTATTAGTGGCTATTAGACCATAATACAGGACAATCATACTAAAATCTGTACACCTAATGAAGCTAATCACAAAGGAGAACCCTGTAAGATGCTCAATCTTCATTCAGAAAGGCAAATGAATGAGATGGATATCAGAAGAGGGAGAAAACAGGGAACAGGACAGGAGCCTACAACAGAGGGCCTCTGAAAGACTCTACCCAGCAGGGTATCAAAACATATGCTGAGATTTATAGATAAACTTTTGCAGAGTGCATGGAATCTTATGAAAGATGGGGGAGACAGAAAGACCTGGAGAGAACAGGAGCTCCCCCAAGGAGAGCAACAGAACCAAAAAAAATCTGGGCCCAGGGGTCTTTTGTGAGCCTGATACTCCAAAAAAGGACCATGCATGGAGATAAGCTAGAACCCCTGCACAGAAGTAGCCAATGGCAGCTCAGTGTCCAATAGGGTTCCCCAATATTAGGACCAGGGACTGTCTCTGACATGAACTCATGGGCTGGCTCTTTGATAACCTCCACCTGAGGGGGGAGCAGCCTTATCAGTCCACAGTGGAAGACAAAGAAGCCAGTCCTGATGAGACCTGGTAGACTAAGGTCAGATGGAAGGGGAGGAGGACCTCTCCTATCATTGGACTGGGAGAGGGTCATAGGAGAAGAAGAGGGAGGGAGGGTGGGATTGGGAGGGGATGGGAGAGGGTGCTACATCTGGGATACAAAGTGAATAAACTGTAATTAATTAAAATTAAAAAGTATTAGTTGTGGCTATTTAAATTTTATTTTTATTTTATTTTTTTAATATTAGTTACAGTTTATTAACTTTGTATCCCAGCTGTAGCCTGCTCCCTCATTCCCTCCCAATTCCACCCTCCCTCCCTCATCTCCTCCCTGCCCCTTTCCAAATCCATAGATAGGGGAGTTCTCCTCCCCTTCCATCTGACCCTAGCTTATCAGGTTTCTTCAGGACTGGTTGCAATGTCCACCTCTGTGGCCTAGCAATGCTGCTCCTCCCTTGGTGCTTCTTTTAAAGTCTGGAAGAATTCAGCTATAAATCCATCTTGGCCTAGGCTTCTTTAAATAAGAAAGCTTCTTGTTCCTGTTTTGATCCTCTTGTTTGTTTGTTTGTTTTGTTTTGTTTTTGTTTTGAGGTTGTTCTTTTTTTGTGTGTGTGAGTCTGTTTAAGTTGTTGATCTCTTCTTTGTTAAAATTTGGTGCCTCAGATGAATCTAGAAATTACTCCATTTCTTTTAGGCTTTCGTTCTTCATGAAGTACAGGTTAAAGTCTCCTCCTACAATGATTCTAATTTCTTTGGTGGATATTATGTTGTTTCCTTGTTCATATCTAATTCTGTTTATCTCAAACTTTTCTTTTGTTTGTTAATTGGACAGAAGGTCTGTTAAACTTGTTAATCCTTTCAATGAAACAGCTCTTAGATTTGTTGGTATCTTCATATTTTTGTTTTTGTTTCTCTTTCTTTAATTCCTGTTCTGGCTTTTATTATTTCTGTCTACTACTTGGGGGTTTGATTTGTTCCTTATTTTCCAGATTCTTTTATTTATATCTTCTCATTTTCCAGTTGTATCATTAAGTCAATTTGTACTCTTTCTGATTTTTTAATGTTGGCACATAGAACTGTGAGTTTTCCTCTTTCCTCTTATGGCTGCTTTTAATGTGTCCTGAGGATTTTGTTGTGTTGTGTTTTCATCTTATTCCAGAAATTTTTTGAGAAACATTAGAACTAAGTGACAGAATACATCAAAAGTACCCAGTAGTATTGACAGAATATTCTGCCAAAACACCAAAGATTATACATTCTACTTAACAGTCCATAGAATTTTCTAAAATAGAACACATAGTGGACACAAATCAATCTAAAAAACAAACAGAAAATTTGAAATAATTTTAAGCAACCTATAATGTAATAAATGTATATGATGACCATAAATGTAATAAATGACCATAATATAATAAAACAGAATCAACAACAAAAGAATCTCTAGTAATTACATATAAACCCATAGGGACTAAAGAATGTATTACTGAATGATGAAAGGGAAAATATAATTAACTGAGAAATAAAAAATCTCTTTCGTTAAATGTTTTATTTTTCTTTATCTGAAATATCTTTAGGACTTTGTGTATATTGAACTAAGCTGTATCACTTTAATAATGCCAACGTAATTAATGTGGATGATTGGGATTTTTGTCTGAAATATTACACATATTCATCTCTACTATTTATTTTTGAGATTATAATATAATTATACCTCCCACCTTCCCTCTCCTCCTTGCAAACCATACCATATTCTCCTTCAATTCAATTCAATCCTTCATTTCAAATTCATGGCTTTCTTTTGTCATTAGTTGTTGTTACTGTATCTATGTACATGTTTATGCATCTATATTCTTAAATATAACCATCAGTCTTTATAACGTTATTTGTCTACATATTTTCACAGCTAACCATTCAGTATTAGAAAACCAATTGGTATGATCTTCCCTGGGGAAAATTAATCTATCCTATGCCCAGAATTCCTTAGATTTTGTTTTTGTTTATTTTAGTTGTTGTTGTTGTATATCAACATAATGCTTCTAAATTTTATCTGCCTTGAATCTGGTGGCAAGAAAGCAGTCAGATGACTATATGTGACATATAATTTTATGTATCCAAATGAATTCACCAAACTATGTATGAATTCAAAGAATTTTGTAACTACAAATGGTCAGGTCAGTGAAAAGTAAACACAGTCTTTGGGGTAGTAGTTGAATAGTTTTTTTTTTCTTTTGTTTGTTTTGTTTTCTTAAGGAAAAAAACTGCAACCAATGCCACTTCATTATTTTATTAAATTGTGCATAGTACAATTATCCTTTTTATTTTTTTACATGGAGAAACACAAATATTTGTTTTTAAAACCCCCAATTTTGTGATTACGTATAATCCAGTACTTAATAATATACTTCATGATAAATTTTCTAAAAGTTGTGATTTTTAAGACTTGAGGTAATTCTCCCAGTGAGTTTCATTAGAGAAAGACAAGACCTTAGACCAAAGGGCTGGTTTCATTAAAGCTGATGTGAGATCATCAAGGAAGGTATATATTTCTGCTTATTGTAAAAGTTTAAATGACTATCAAAGAAGTGAGTGAGGTCCCTAATAACTGAATTAATGAGGAAGATTTGTCTTCTGCAATTGTCAATCTTGCAGCTGCTTCCTTTGATTTAAAAAGTTCATCTCTTTGTAACTAGAATAGGTAGGTATGTGTTGAAGAAATAAAGTTTCAAGAGCTTTATATTGGCAATAAAAATGTTGCAATCTCTTATGACAGAGATCTGCTTTATAAGGCAACATATTTTTATGAAACATAAATGTTTGAAAGTGACCATCTTAGTAAGTAAGAGGTTCAGATTTAAAAGGAAAGTACAGAAGCCATTTGCTAAAACACCTTTTGTTGGACCAGTGGTTGAATCAATTCACATGTATGAAAATAGCGACTGTGTAGTAACTGTTATCTCCTATTTGTATGTAGAAGTCAACACCTCATTGCCACAGTAGCTCTTTAAGTTTCGTATTTATTTATTTATTTAAACTTGCTTGCTTATTGTGTGTATATGTTATGGACTTGTGTATTCTATAGCACCTAAGTGGAGGTCAGAGGAGTCAGGTTTCCCCTCTTATCAGGAGAGCACCAAGAACACCTGAGATAAAACTAAGGTTGTCAAGCTTGGTGGCAATCATATTTACTGGCTGAGACATTTCATTAGGCTCTGCTTCTCAACTAAATAGCAATAAAATGATCTGTTCAAGTTTATGTTTGATAGTTATCTCAGGCCATCTTCTGAGACAACAATAAATTCACAAGGTTATCATGAAACACTCACTTTGAAAAACAAAACAAAACAAAGCGGCAGAGTGTGATGGTTGGGAACATGCGTTATGATCAGACAAACCCATCTTCAAAAGAAAGTGCTGGCTTGCGCTAGACTGATGTGACTGGGCAAATTATTTATTCAACATTTATGCGCCTCATTTACTGTCTTGTAAAACAGAAAAAAAAAACTATTTCATGAGTTATTTTATAGGTTAAGTAGAGTTACATTTTCTAAGTCTTTTCCTATTGGTGTGGTAAAACAATCTGACAAAAGCAAATTAAAGGAGAAAGGGCTTATTTTGGTTTGAGGTTAAAACACATACAACAGGAGTTGGAGGCAGTTGGTAATATTGCATTCATAATCAAGGAGCAGAGATCTTTCAGTGTTGGTGTCCAAATAGCTGTACTCTTCCTTATGCAGTCCAAGACCAAAATCCAGGCACTCCATCCACAGTGGCCAACTTTAAGTTGGCCTTAAGTAACCCAATCAAATTAATCTCCGAAAAGCATGCTAAGATGTCCATCTTCCAGGTGATCCTAAAGCTAATCAAATTTAGAATAACCATCATAAGTACATGTGCTTCAGCATCCAGTACATTGTAAGGTTATAATGCTGTTTTTAAGTTGTTGACAAAGCATTTGTTGAATAACTACTACAAATCAGATAGAAACAAATGTAGTTTGCATGTGTATATCTTCAAGTAATAGAGCACTCCTACATCCCGCCTCTGCATTATATGAAGATGTATAATTACAGATTGTAAGCACTTTTTACCACTGGCACATTAGCAAACAACAAACACCATTGCACGGTGCAGTCTGTTTACTTGGCAAAATGAAGATAATGCAGCTGCTTCGCACAACAGGCAAATGGGGGTGGAGTGCTGATTGCAGGGTGAATTGAGCCCAGAGACTATATTTAGTTAGAACGTGACATCATTTAAAACTCTGAATTATGTGATTCACACATTTTAAATAACATTGGTTTGTTTACTTAACAAAACCTGGGGAATCCAGTAAATTCCCCTCGTTCTTCTTGAATGCAGTTAGCCAACACAACAAAGCTATAGAGCAACTAATTTTAAAATCCTTAACATTTACATGATTATCTGGGTCAAAATATAGTCTTGAAACAGAATAACCATATGCTGTAAAATATAATTGATGTTATGGTGAAGGCTGGTAAGGTGAGTCTGCATTCTTTCTGTAGACATTAGCATTATTAAAAGGTTCCTGTAGCAATTACATAGTTAGTGAAATGCCATTATGCCCATCATTCCATGTGTACATGGGGTTATGATTATATGATACTGGACATATACATAAATATCTGAAAACTCAAATACTTCTCCAGATGTTCCCAAATATCACTATGCTTGGCCTATGGGCAGAACACCTGGACTTAAGTTTTTTATTTCATTTTTTTTTTCATATGCTAATCTATTTATTTATTTATTTATTTATTTATTTATTTATTTTATTATTATTTTTTTCTTTTTAGTTACATTTTGTTAACTCTGTGTCCCAGCTGTATCCCGCCCCCTCATTGCTAATCTCTTATCTACCAATCTGTTTGGAAGTTTTTTTCCCTACCACTTACTAGTGAGCGTATAGCCAAAATAATGAAAACCAAAAGGCCTTATCATGAAAGTATGTTTCCTGTGTTGAAAGATTCTGTCAGTCTGCTAGGTCATACATGGATGCTAGCTGTAAGCAAGTCAAAAAAGTTATTTGGTTCAAGAAAAAAAATCATCTCCATGTTTGGATTTACAGAAAGCATGCACATTAGTATTGGTAAGGTTAGGATTTATAAAAGCAGTGTCTAGGAAGGCAGAAAACCTTAGGCTTCCCTCCTTTACGTAAAACAGTATGACCCTTAGACACTCTGATACCAAACCATCCTGTTTTGTCTGGGATCCTCTATATTAGCATACAAAACTCTCCTCTCCAAAGAATCCTTCACTCCTAGACACATGGCAATTGTAGCCCAGGTCTTCACCTAGGGCATTATTCTCTTCCATGCAGAGCTGTATTTCATAGTGAAACATCGAGCACAGCTGAGAAGACAGAGGTTGCCAAATGGGAACTATTATCATCTTCGAAGATCTCATCCACATTTCCCATTCTGTTTCCTCTCAGAGCACAAGTCTGTCTTATTCTATTTGATTCAATACAATCAACATTTTTCATGTACTGTGATAGTCACTCTAATTAATTCCATATCATCCTGAAAACAAGTTTCTGCCCTACATTTTCCAGCCTTGATTCAGTGGCCATGCACTTTACATCATCCTCACTGGAATCCCAAAGCTAAATTTCTATTTCCTGCCAAACAGACCTGCCATTCTGCACCAGATCAGACTCAGAATGTGAAAACATGGAGCCCTAAGCAAGCCTCGCCCTGTATGGACCCTCAGCAGCACTTGGGAAGCAAAATAATGGTTCATACACAAACTTAAAAAAATTAAGAGAGGCTCTAACAAATCAATGGCCTGAAATCAAGTTGTCTAAGAAGTCCTGTTTTTGTCATAGACTTTACTGCACATAGCAGACACATAACTTGCTGTGTTTTAGGGGTCAGCTTGCTGTATTTTCTACATGAACAAAATGTATTTGTATATTTTAGTATTCCTAGAGTACTTTGCTGGCTCCATTTTTTTTAACTCACTAGGTCCTCGTTTCTCTACTGTTGTATTAAAAATAGCCACAAACTACGTCAAGTTTCATCACTTGGCCCAGCTCCAAATTCAGAGAACATACCCTCTTATACCTCAAATTCTCTTTCTCCCTTATTCTTCCCCCCCAAATTATTTGATTTCCTGTGCCTTCTGCACCATGCAAATCATAGCCCTCCCAACACTCACAATTGTAGATGTCAGCCACACTACATTCTTCTTTTCTGTGTTTCTCAACCTGGGATCCACTTTGTGCATAAAATCTTCCCAGCATATACCCCTAATGTCTAACCAGTGAAGTCTTGGCATAGCCATTCTCTCAGAATTCTAGCTGCATCAGGCAGAACTGGGTTTTAAATAACACTTACTGAAATGGTATTAAAGAACTGCTTTTATTTTTATGTGCCTTGATTATTTCTTTAATCAAATGAGTATAAGAATTATTTTGGTTTTGATGCCCACAAAGTAGCTCAGCAGGTACATCTGATAATCTGAGTCCAAACCCTGGTCCCACATGGTGGAAAGAGAAAACTGATACAGTCATTCAAACAATCTGTGAGAATTAATGAGGTAAAACAAACAAATAAAGTATACAGATCCACTAACTTGTTAATCTTAGTACTCCCATCATTATGACCTTTTTTTTTTTTTTTTACAAGTTCTCTAGAAGAAAACAGTTGTGATAATTCTTACTATATGTTTCTAGTATTTGGGGTTTGGTTTTGTTAGACTTTCCAGTTCCATTCCTGCACTAATGCAAGAATATGCAGGTCTATACCCAGTGAGAAGATCTGCCTTGAGAATGGGGTCAGGACTCACATACAGGAAATCTACATAAAAGGGAGTCCTCAAAGGGGTCTTTCCAGAACCACTCTAGAGGTGGAAGAAAATGCACCATTCTGACCTCCCACTTCAAGCAGTGACTAATCAACAAGAGTTTATCTAGGTCTAACTGCAATTAAATGTGACCTTAAGGATAAGGACTCAGCTCCCAGCAGGTGTGTGCTTTCAGGAAATCATCACTATGTCCTGTGTTCAATTTTTTATGATCCTGACTGATGAGATTTAGTAATACTACCCACCGAATTCCCAAGAGCAGCTGCTGTTGGGAATTGGCAGTTGTACTAGAGTGGGTTATTGGAAGAAATCAGGTGTTGGGTTGATGAGTTAATGGTTAAAAGCGCTTGCTTCTCTTCCAGAAAACCTGAGTTCAGTTCCCACATCTTAACTCCCTTCTTACCTCCAGTTCCGGGACATCTGGTATCCCTTTCAGGTACCAACATATATGGCATTCACTCATCTGACATAGACACACAGACATAAATATAAACAAAAATAATAGTAAAAACAAACCCAAAAGGAAGAAAGACATCACCTCTCTGTGTGTAATCCTCATGGTCAAACCTGAATGCTGAAAATCTTAGACAGCTGTTGTCTAACAGCAGTTTGCTGCTGGCCCATTGCTGACCTAACTTCTGTGTCTCCATTTGACATCTGTGCAGTGCTTACAGGATTGCTGTGAGAATTAGTTAAAGTAATTTAGCACAACACTTGCTCCATAGTAAGTGCTCAGCTCAGTAATGGTGTCCACTCTTAATCTAACTGATACTGTTAAGATAATTACAAGGAATTAAAAGTCTATCTGATCAGTCTTTATTGCGTATGCACATTTCTTCATGATTTCAGTTCACTTCCACCTGCATCTGCCAGCAGTAGTGTTTACTATTTTAAATTGAATTCATACGTCATCCTTAAAGCATCTTTATCACAGTCCCTTTGAATGTTTTTTTTAAGATAAAGCCACTAAACATCTGTATCACTGTGAAATTTTTAGAACTCCTGTGTGTATTTTTCATAACTTATCTGTAAAGTCTTACTATTTCCATTATACAAAGAAAAGAGACTTAGATACAATTAAGTGTGCTCTAAATAATTAGAATTTGTCTTCTACTTTTTCCCTCTCTGGGGAGTTTAAAAGACTTGTCTTTTGTCCGTGTTTTCTCCCTAAAATGTATGCTCATGAAGAAATTCCCTAACCACTCTGACCTGTAATACTCAAAGTTATAAGACTTTGAACCTTAAACCAGGTTGGATAACTTTTAAAAATCTTTTCAAAATTATAACTTTAAAACCAGGTACAGAAAATATAAGTAAAAGTCAATGACAGCAAGAAGAAATGGAATAGCCACTTCTCAGTCTCTAGCCAATGCCTTTTCATCTTGAAACCATAAGTCTAAAAGAAAAATAGAAAGACCTTGCTGGTTCTTGCTCTAATGAACTCTTTTACTTGCTGTTTTAAAATTTTTGTTACAATTATTTAATTTGTACACATGTACATTCCCAGATGACCATGGGGAGATCAGAGACAACTTTTAGGATTTGATTCTTTTCTTCCATCATGTGAAAACTCGAGTTGTTAATGTTGGTGGCAAGCATATTTACTGCTAACCCAACTCATAAGGTATAGTATTTGCCCAATCTTTAAGAGGCCAGTACTCACCTCTCCCTCCTAGTTTGCAGCCATCTTGTGTATACTTTAATTTCACCCTATAGAATATAGACTCTTTACTAGTCTGACACCAAATGGTGGCCTCCTTCTCTAAGTTTTCTTCCTGAATATAAGGATCAACAGAAGCTCATTAATTAAGGGTCCAGGACAATGTCTTGAAGGGTACAATAGCATTTATTTCCACAGGAGAAACAGAAAAACCATAGGGATAATTATGTGTGGATGCATCTTAGCTTCCTGTGAATGTATTTTTTCTGCTCTCTCTTCCTTTTGTTCATCAACTCTAATTGTCCTTAAGATTCAAACCCTGGAAACTTTTAAAAACACTGATTCCAGTGACTACCTCTCATTGTTCCTGTTGTGCTATCCTTTCACATTTTTAAAGAGCCACATACAACTCAGGGAATTGGACACATGCCTATAATCCAAAACTCAGGAGTCAGAGGCAGGAGGGGCACAAGTTCAATTCCAGCTTAGGCTAGATACAGCATTTTAGGAATAATCTTTCCTATTAGCACCTTAGCTCCTTCAGAAAAAAAAGACAATATTTGATTTCTTTTTCACTGAATCCCTTAATGCCTGGTCTAGAATCAACATGTAATAAATACATAGAAAGAATACGTAAGTAATGGAAGAATGAAGAATTGTTATCTACTACTCATAAAAGGGAACACCATGTTTTGCCATCCTGGATGACCTTAGAAAACCAACTGCTAATGAAAGAAAAAAAATTAAATATTTGTATTCTCTTATTTTAGTTTTTGGGTCAATGTGTTACAAGAGAATAATCACTGTTTGTTAGTTATCCAGGCTGAGATCAACAGCCTTGGTTGTCAGTGGCAAAGAGGTATAGTAGACCTGAGGCATTTGTGCACTCACCTAAAGATGATGGTATCACTTCTAAAACTGACCTTTAGATTAGACAATAACAGTCAGCTCTGGGCAGTGAGAATTTTGCTAGGTTAAACTTGGTGAATAGTAGTTGATAGCATACTGTACTATATTGCCAGCTTCTGGGAAGAAAAAAGGCAAAAGTAGGTACTTACAGTTTCTATATATGATACCAAATGGATATAAAGTAGATCTAGAATAGAAGCCTCACTACAAGAAACAAATTTGAAAGAGTATTTAAAGTCTTGTCTGAGACCAGACAGTTGACATTAGTATGTGGTTTATTCAATGAGTATGGTCATGGTTAATATCCTAAATTACAGTAAATATCATCAGGTACATTACTGGAGGAATAGCCAGTGAACCTCCCTCAAAAATATGAATGAGAAATGCAGGGTGTATCTAGTCTATAAGCAATAGTACAAAGAAAAGATTTAAATGTATACAGTGAAAATCCTGGTATAACTGTGGGCCATGGTGGCACATCAGCAATTCTAGCATTTGGCAGGCAAGAGGAGAGCCACAAGTTGAAGACCAGGCTGGTCAATCAACAGAGTGAGTTCCATTCTAGCCATGGCTACAGAGCAAGGTAAAACAGAACGAAACACGCAAATCAAAACAAAACCTTAACTCTGACTTAAGAGGTGACATCAAGGCTCATTGTGGTTTGAATAAGTAGCTCTGCTTTCCTTGGATGTTGTTGTGCCTTGAAACTCTAGGAGTATTTGGAATGGTCTCAGAGGAGGACAATGAGAGACTTGGCTTCCAGATTTATCCATCTTCTGTCCGTCTGTTTCTATGAGGAAATGTGAAGCTAAGCCTAATGAGCTTTAAGTCTGCAAGATTTCCATGCCAAATTAAAAGCAGGAATTCAAAAATTCAGAATTCTGTTTCCAGTCATTAAAATTAAAGACTACTCTGCTGCCGAACTGGTTTGTTATCTTAATAAGTTGGTGATTTATAGTTGTGATAGAGAAAGAGATGTTAATCATTGAAAAACACACAAAAGCAGAAGAGCAGCCAGTGCCATGATGCCACTGGCCAGTGAGCTCTGTAACGAGAGGTGATGATCCAGTTGTGGTCTCCTTAGTACAGCCATTGCTCTGCAGGCCACTGGGAACACACATTCATATGAACAAATGCAAAAAATGAAGGTGGTGTGACCAAAAAAACTGAATGCATTTAGAGCAAAACTTGCATGTGTCCAAGCAATGTGTTCACCACTCAAGACTGAAACCAAAGTAACAGCAGACCTAGGATGACTTTAAAGGGGATTCCTCAAGCGTGCAAACACTCACCTTGTGGCTAACGGATCCAATTTACCTGACCTCAAATGCGCTGATGAAGGGCCAACATACAATCAATACAACTGACTCCTGTTTTCCATCCATGGCCAGGATAAGAAATGTTCATTATTACCAACCACGAGAGCCTGGTGAGCACAGACAAAAGCACAAGGCTAGAACCAACCAGAGCCACCAACAGTGCTGTAATGCCAAAAGAGTTAAGCTGTGAAGAATGGAATTAACTGAGTTGTTTTCTTCTGAAGCAGCTATAACTATGGCTTATTTATGACGAATATGAAGCTTTTCGGTGGCTGAAAAGTATTTCATCTTCAGTGCAGTCCATAAGATTCTGACTGTCACAACTTCCCTTAAGAACAACAATAGCTGAGGTAGAACTAGACCCTTCTTACCATCTCAGGTAGGTCGACACTGCTCATAGGCAGAATCCCATTCGTAAACACCCTTGCTTTACGTGTTCATTTACCTAGCATCCTTCATAGCTTCATGTTAAAGAAAGTGAGAGCTCACTTATGTGGGAAGACTTGGAGAACCTTGTTCACAGTGTTTACATGGGAAGGCAAAGGGTAAATGATGAAACCCAGAGGATTTGCTTATCGGCCTGTTTCATCTGTCTAAGTAAAATGGCAATGAGGGTTATTATTTTTAGAAAATATTTAAAAATAAGTTAAGTTCAACTGGGATCTGAGCATTCTTTTACATTTTCTTCTATAAAGCTTTGTTCCATAAATGGAAAAGAAACATGAATTCTCATTATTTAAACTTTGTTACAAAAAAGAACCATTAAGATACCAGAATAACAAAAGGTAATATTCTCATTAAAATGTGCAAGAATATTTTGTGATAGTTTTTTGCACTGAAATCCTTTACAGTAGGGGAGATAAACTATCATTGCAAAAGCCCTGAGTGTCAATGTATCATAAAATGCTACAAACAGCTAAAAATGAGATGTTTACCTGTTCAGGTAGATTCAGTGGTACTTAATGAATCATTAATTTGTTGTAAAGGTTACTCTGGGCTATTCCTGTTTGACTTCTTGGAACAAAGCCCAGTTATGTTTCTTTTTCTAATTTGGCTAATACAAATATTTTAAATGTGAAGCGGCATGGTAATTGCAAGGGACAAGAGGTACAAGCTTAAAAGGCATCATCAAATAGGCACAATCCCAGCATTGAAAGACAGAAAAGTGTATAAAAAGATTAAGGCCAGCCTAAGCTTTGTAGAGACACCTGAGTCATTACAAAAATAAAGAAAAGAAGAAGAAAAAAGGAAACATTTAAAACAAAAGTTACCCTGTCTACATGCCAAGCCATGACCCTGAACTTTGTATATTTTAAAGGTGTTTGCAAAGAAGCTTGTATTTTTCCTATAAACACTAAAAACTAGCTCTTGTTTGCCAAGAAGACAAGGTCAGAGAGCAAAGATTTATGCAGTTCTTACCATGATCAAATGCAATGAGTTACTGTTGAATGTAAAGTCCCCAAACTTTTAAGGTCAGAAAATTCCCTCGGATCATAAACAAATGAGTTCTTAGTGAACAGACCTCTGCCAGGAGCCAATAAAGAAACATTCATCCATGAAAGGATGGACTCCCATTCTTCTGAGGATGTTGTAGAGTGAGTATCATGTAATACTGTCCCACATAAATCTCACACACAAAAAAGGCTGAGAGGTACAGGCATTTTTCTTTCCTTGAGACCTAGGTCTTGTCCCCAATTTTCTGGGTGAAAGTAAAGTAGTCTGTAGTCTACAGATTTCCAGCAGCTCCCAGTGATGAGCAAGGTTAAGGTTAATAGAACTACTCTTGAGTTGAGGTTCTAAGCTCTTTTTTTTTTTTTTTGCTTTCACTAGTAGCTCAGATTAGACTTCAATTCCTTGTGTTGCCAGGCTCTACTCAAATTATTGATCTTCCTGATTCAGCCTTCTAAGTACTGATATTATAGAGATGTGCCATTATGCCTGACTTCAATTTTATGAAAACTCATTATGTCTTACGAGATTTTAAAAAGCAACACACACATATGTGCTCACAAATAGGCTCATATGTATGTGTATACATATGTGCTCATAAAAGGCCATTGTGTATATGGATATATATGCATATATATATATATATATATATATATATATATATATATATATATATA